ATAAAAATCATAACAATAATAACAATAATAATAACAATAATAATAAAAAAATGATATTAAAAAATTATTTGCCGCCTGCATTTGTACACGGCATGACCCTACACCCCCTTGCTTCTGACCTGTGTGTATAGTTATTCTTGTGCAGGTGGAGCAGCCCACAGCACACCTCGCAGCCCATCCTCTGTAGTGTCAGCGGGTCCGGTGCCGTGGACTTGGAGGCCGCACAGCTCTGCAGATATCCCTTTAGGTCCCCCTGAAAAAACAAAAATGGTGTTATACTATCGATGCCGCTGCAGGTGATGGGAAAGCTGTGGGGTCGGTGGCATGGCGGAGGACCAGATCTCTTCACTGCTCCACTCACACCGATGTATCTGCAGCGGAGGATTCTCCTGGTAAAGGTTTGGTAAGCTATAAGCGCCATAGAGAAGATGGCACAGACACCGGGATTTACATGACTGTGTCCTCTCTGAGCCGGCATCTCAGTCCAGGAAGTAGATGGTGACCCTGGAAGAGGGCTGAACAAAGATGGCGCCATCAGGGGGAGTGATCTCAATGTGAGGTATTAAATACCTGGAAGTGTTCCTCCTGCTGCACTTAACATGAAACAAATACCTGAGGACAGGTCCACTTTAAGCCCTGAAATTGTGAATAAACTGCACAGAAAAATGGAAATAAAATGGATTCTGGGGGATAATTGTCAGCACTTCGCACAACTAGATCAAGATGAATCTCAGCAGCATCGCCATCAGTATGTGAGGAGATGGAGGAGGGCGAGTGGAGCTGAAATCTCATCACCAACGGGCGTGTGCCACTTACCAGCGGGCAGAACTCCATCACCAGGAGGTACGGGGTGATCTCTGTACACTGTGCCATCCCGGGAACTCAGCACAGGGATGGTGGGTGCCCCTCATATTGGGCACAGCAGGTTTACAGACCGGTGCTCTTAACTCTGCAGCAGACACTGAAATATAAGGTGGGTAGGATGTGCTTCCTGTATGCATATCCATTTGGACAGGAGTGTCCCTTTAAGACCGGCGGCGAGGTATCGGGTTGCAGTCTGCGCACACTGCCAGTTGTTTATTTTCTGTCACTAGTCAGACAAAAGCCACAACAGGGAAATTCTCACCTTTACCTGTCTCCACTTTCTGTAACCTGCAGACTTAAAAAAAACACCCAGCAGCAGAGTAACATGATGCGCCCGCTGTCTGGTATGCGGCTGTTATTCTAAATGAGAAACTATGTGAAATGTCGGGAACATTGTCTGTAGTGCAGGCGCCGACAAATGCCAAACACATGGCAAAGATTGGGCAGAGATCCGTCGGTTCTGGTTCAGGATCCAGCCACGAGGGAGGAAGTCTGGATCGGATTTTCATGCATTTTTAACATCCCAACACAGGTCTGCCGGACGGAATATAATCGATGATGAGAATAGTTGGCAACTATTCTCATCATCGATTAGTTGGTTGGGGGGAAAGAGATAAGGGTAGAGAGAGGGAGAGAGATAAGGGTAGAGAGAGAATAATGATGAGAGAGAGAGAGAGAGAATAATGAGGGGAGAGATAGAAAATAATGAGGAGAGAGAGAGAGAGAAATAATAATGAGGAGATAGAGAGAGAAAATAATGAGGAGAGAGAGAGAGAGAGACTAATGAGAAAGGATGAGGAGAGAGAGAGAGAATAATGAGGAGAGAGAGAGAGAATAATGAGGAGAGAGAGAATAATGAGGAAGGATGGGGAGAGAGAGAGAGAGAGAATAATGAGGAGAGAGAGAGAGAGAATAATGAGGAAGGATGGGTAGAGAGAGAGAGAATAATGAGGAGAGAGAGAGAGAATAACGAGGAAGGATGGGGAGAGAGAGAGATAATAATGAGGAGAGAGAGAGAGAATAATGAGGAGAGAGAGAGAGAATAATGAGGAAGGACCCCTGATAATGTCAATGGACTTACCTATTCCCCCCATATCATTCTTTACCCATAATAATGTCCCACTATCCCACCCCCCTCCCCCCAAAATATAATCTCCCCATATGCTTAGGCAATGCTAAAATGTATTTGGTCGTGCTAATAAAGCTTATTTGCATTTGAATTTGAATTTGGAAGGAGAGAGAGAGAGAGAGTTGAAGAAATAAATTATTTCAGCAGGAGGTTAAACAGCAATCCGGTTTTATTAAAGCCTTACAAGCAGATTTTAGTTGGGCCTCCATATCAAGGCCGAGCTCTGGGCAATTGTTTATGCCTTGAAGAAGCAGCAAGGTCTGAGACAGAGCAATGCTAAGGGGCAACATTCACAAACTGGGTTTAGTTCCCATTTTATTTATGTTTGGTCGCTAAATTCAGTATCGAAATATGGAAGGAGTACTGGGGGGGCGCGGGGGGTTGTGAGAGCGCGCACAGCCCACATAAGAACCCGCACAGCCCACCTGAGAGTCCGCACAGCCCATCTGAGAGCCCGCACAGCCCATCTGAGAGTCCGCACAGCCCATCTGAGAGTCCGCACAGCCTATCTGAGAGCCCGCACAGCCTATCTGAGAGTCCGCACAGCCTATCTGAGAGTCCGCACAGCCTATCTGAGAGCCCGCACAGCCTATCTGAGAGCCCGCACAGCCTATCTGAGAGCCCGCACAGCCTATCTGAGAGCCCGCACAGCCCATCTGAGAGTCCGCACAGCCTGAGAGCCCGCACAGACCACCTGAGAGCCCGCACAGCCCTCTATAGCCGGTCTCCTCGCTCCCTCCCCTGGCGCCCTAGTTGTGAGGCTGCACAGAGGGGTCACAAGTCTCTCTGCAGCTTAATTGGCTACCTTTCCTTGGAAGCTCTGAACGATAGGTGGCACAGCCCAGCGGTAAGGCATGTTATAGGACATGCTAATTGCAATTTGCATGCTTATTACCACGCAAGATGGCCGTTGCGATCAGGACGGAGCCTGCATGAGTGGGGGGTGTCAACCAGCACATGTGCCAAGGGCAGCCAGCTCTGAAAACACAACAGAGCATTGATTTCTATAGGGCATCCATGTGCTGCTTAGGAATACATGGAGAAGTGACAACAGTAGCTCATCTGAAAAGCCCGCCTCGGTGAGATCCCCCGGCAGTACATCGTCTCATTTCAAGCAAAGACAGGTCCTCTTTAATGGATGCCTCAGGCAGGAACGCCGCTGTAATAACCGTGACTACGGCTCCCATCGCCCCGGCAGGAATGTCTTCGTGCCAAAGCATTTTCACGCTGCAAATCTGGAAAATTGGGAAGGCGGGGATGGCGGCGCGGAGCCAAAAACAGACGCGGTCATGTGTAAGGAATGTGTTGTTGACATGCCAGGATCCTGACGTCTCCATCATTAGGTTTATGAGGCTGTTGTGTCCGCTACGCGCAAGTGTCAGAGGGCGGAGCAGAAAAAAAGAAAACGGGAAGCCGAAGGGGATTGTGGGTAAAAAAAAACCCACTCTGCGCACTTACCGGTAGGGTTGAGTCTCCTCTAGGAACAGCATCTGCTCCTGGACGCTGGCGCTGACTTTGAGCTCCTTCACCACAACCTGGGTGCTGGCCAGTCCCGAATTCACCTCCCCCAGCAGGACCTGCACAGCGGAGAGAGACACACGAGGGGTTAAATATGAAGATTCACATAGAACGGATTCTGGAGAGAATAGCCCCCGGCCTACGGAGAGCGGAGGACCGCCATGTGATTGCCCACCCGGGGGGGGATTCACCCCCTTTATAGGCAAAGGTATCCTCACACTTCCTGTTGAGTCACCAGGACAGGAAGTGAAGAGAAATCTCCCTAATGAGACGTCTCTACTGTATTATATACTTTAAAGGGCCAGTACATCTAAAATAGATAAGTTAGATATTATATAATATAGATAGACAATTTGGGATTCATGTCTAGTTGAGAGCCCTAGGTTTTGCGCATCCAGGGCCACACACCTGACACAGCCATGAAAGGGGGGTTCCCTGTGCCAGTTCAAGATGAACTCCGGACATACTCTGATTAAATACATATATAGGAGCTGTTTTACTTGCCACGGATGTATTCTGTCCATCCATCTTATGCCCTGCCACACAGCACAGCCCTGTCTGGCAGGGCGGGAGACCCGATTTTTGCCTCTGCTGCAGTTCAGTAACACTTACAGGTCTTTTCCCTCCCCTAGCCTGTGATTGGACAGTGAAAGGAGAAGCAGCAGACTGCTGAGCTCATCTGCCACTCTGCTCAGCATGTTCCTTAACTGATTGGCTGCTGCTCTCTCACACAGTCTGCTGTACAGGAGATGCACCAGGTTGATACCAGGTCAGCTTCAGGTACCTGCACTGCTTGCATACAGAAAAATGACACCTGAAGTTGTATAAATTGATGCAGAGCTGCATTAATATGTGTCTTTTATATCTGCAATGCAATGCTGCCACTTGTGTGTATACTGTCACATGACATCATCACGGTGGTGGGAGGCGTTATTTGGCTTTTCAGGGCAGGAAAAAAAAAGAGTGAAATCCGTCCTGTTTGCCATCTGTGGAAACCTTAAAGGAGAAGTATGGGGTCAGGGCTTTTCCCCCATAGTTCTCCTTAGGGTAACGGGAGGACACAAACTAGCGTCCTCCCGTCACCCTAGGCTCAGTATACCGCGAGCTACAGCTCACGGTATACTGAGACGCCGCAGCTGGAGCGGATCCCGACATCGATGTCGAGATCCGCCCAGCTGCGTGAGTGACAGCTGGCTCTGCCTATCTAGAGGCAGAGCCAGCTGTACCCGCCCCCTCCCCCGTCCGTTCCGCCAGTCAGCGCTGGCAGATCGGGGAGGGGGGAATTCAGCCCCTCCCCTGTCACTGCAGAGAGCCGTGACAGGATCGAGAGGTGAGCGAACGCCGGTATGTGTTCGCTCACCTCCCGATCTACTGAGCCGACCGGTGACAGTCTCATTGTCACAGGTCGGCTAGAACTATGAGGTGAGTGAAAAGCACCCGCCTCATAGTTTTCCTTTAAGTATCTCTTTTAAGTATCAAATAATCTAAGGTTATGATAGCCGTGTATGTATGTTCTCTTTCAGGCTGCGCAGGGGGGCGATGATCCACCTGCTGGAAATGTAACAACGTATACTAATATACTGATTGTATTACTGACTGTAATTTGTCTTTTGAGCTGCAGATGGCGCTGTAGTGCAATGTCAGTCTCTACGTGCGCGCTTATCTATGATGCACAGGAAGCTGTTGGTTTTTTTGTTCTCTGTGTTCTTCTTCACAATGCTGTACACACACATGTAATGTTCTTCTAAGTAAAACTCAATTCAGCATTCCTCAGGATCTCAGCGCTTCATCTAAACACATAACCAACGCCACCAACAAAACCGGAGCACAGAAATCCGGAGCAAAACTGGAGCCGTCATTGAATTATTCTTTTATTTATTACACAAAATGATATTTAACTTTATAAAAAAAATAAAAAGACATTATCGCAGTGAGTTGTAATGGGGCTGAAATATGTAAAACGTAAAATGTTATTTTTTTAATAGTCACAATGCATATCGGCCGCCGAAACATATTGGCCAAAAATGGCACTTTTGGCAAAGTGCCACTTTCTGGCCGATACAGCGGTGCATCCATTCTTTCTCTCCTCCCCGCTGGGCGCTGCTCTGTGTCCCAGCGGGGAGGAGAGAAACTGTCACAGGCGGCCGAGCGCTACGGGAGGAGAGCGCTGTGAGCGGCTGGCGTCTCTCCTCCCACGCTGCTCAGCCTCCTGTCACAGATCGGGAGAGCGGCGGTGAGGGCGGAGACAGCCAGCGCTGCCACACAAGGCTGAGCTCTCCTCCCCGCACCGCTCGCTCAGCCTCCCGTGACAGCAGTCAGGATGGAGAGCGGGTACAAGCAGTCGGTGATCAGTGATCACTGAGTGTTTGTACATAATTGAGGACAGAGTATGGTTACTATATCCTCAATTATGAATGAATGGGAAGTGATCTACATCACCTCTACATCACTTCCTGTTCATTCATGATTCTGGTTATAGTAAACACACTCTGTCCTCATGGTATGAATGATCAGGAACACTCAGTATAGAGGATTCCTGGTCATTTATAACAGGGGCTGCAGAAAAAGAGATGGAGGACTCTGTGTGTCTCTGAGGACTCTGTGTTCTCAATCTCTTTTTCCATTTTACAAGGGAAACATCAGAGGTCTGTTTAGACCCCCAATATTTCCCAGAAGCACCTAAAGGTAAAGTAAAAAAATTACAATATTTAATCAAAAATGAATACAAATATAAAAAAATTAAAAAGTTTATAAAATTAAAAAAAAATTAAAAATATTAAAAAAAGTTCAAACCAAAAAAAATTTCGGTTTCGGCCTGACAATTTGTTTTTAATTTCGGTTTTGTTTCGGTTTTGAACTCTTCATTTCGGTGCACCTCTAATAAAAAGTGTCACATTTATCATTTACAAATGATCTGCAATATCGTAAATCGCCAGCAGAGGGCTCCGCACTCACCTTGCCGAACCAGCCTCGGCCAATCTCCTTCAAGTACAGCAAGCTCTGTCTTCCCAAATCGGTGGATTTAAGAAGTTGCACTGCGGGAGAAGAACAAATATTGATACGTTGTAGCACTCGCCTCTTCCTTATCCCCCCTCAGTCTCAGAAAAGAGAGTTCACAATCCCAGCTGTAACCTACATAACCCTCCGAACTGTCTCTGCTCTACTCTAGGCACCTCTCTCTCCCTTCATGACTTCTCCTGTGCTTCCTCCTTTCTCTGGACTTCCCTTCCACATACGATCTGACACTCTCCAGCCACTCTGACCCTTAAAGGAGAACTATGGGGTCAGGGCTTTTCCCCATAGTTCTCCTTAGGGTAACGGGAGGACACAAACTAGCGTCCTCCCGTCACCCTAGGCTCAGTATATAGGGAGCTGTAGCTCAAGGTATACTGAGACGCCGCAGCTGAAGCGGATCCTGACAATTGTGTCGAGATCCGCCCAGCTGCGTGAGTGACAGCTGGCTCTGCCTATCTAGAGGCAGAGCCAGCTGTACCCACCCCCTCCCCGACCGTTCCGCCAGTCAGCGCTGGCGGATCGGAGCGGGGAGGGGGGAATCCAGCCCCTCCCCTGTCACGACAGAGAGCCGTGACAGGATCGAGAGGTGAGCGAACGCCGGTATGTGTTCGCTCACCTCCCGATCTACTGAGCCGACCTGTGACAGTCTCATTGCCACAGGTCGGCTAGAACTATGAGGTGAGTGAAAAGCACCCCCTCATAGTTCTCCTTTAAGGTGACTGTTTACAATAAGGTCCCTGCAGGGCCGGTGCTAGACTATTTTGCGCCCTAAACAAGACAAGCTACTTGCACCCCCCAGCCCCACTCCGCGGCGCTGCGTGAGAGGCGAGTATTATTATCTTGTATATTTAATAACAAAAGTCCCTTTAAAAGAACTCCTCCCCATAGGCTAGAGTTGATTGTTAAAGGAGCAGACCTCAGGAGCCTTTGTCCCCATCCGGGTTACTGACCCCGCACCTCTGCGGACAGCTGCTGGGCTGAACAGGTGCGTAGTGAGCCGAATGGAGCAGGTGCCGGTCTTGTGCCCGCACCGAGTCTGTATTCGTGGTGTGGGGCTGCCTCGAGCTGCGCCGGGAAGGAGGACGAGGAGGAGATGTGGAACCCGGCAGGCAGTGTCAAAGATAACTACTGCCAGGTCACCGGAAGGCTGCCTCAGGCCCCCAGAAGCACGGGTCCTCGGCAGCCGATCCGATTTAAAAGTTTAAAGGGCCGGTATCGGCCTTTAGTATCGGGACAATGCCCTGTATCGGCACCGATACCAGTATCGGGACATCCCTAGTAAATACCCCTCCCCCAATGGCACATATACATTTTGGCTTCATATACCTTAAAGTAGAAAAAATGACATATGTGATGCGGTCTGTCAGCAGCATTAACGCAGCCGTCCCCCCGTAACGTAGTTTTATTACCTATTGATACAGCCAGTGTCTGTTAACAGGCCAAGCTGTCCAGGAAAAGTGGCATATAGGGGGTTCAGACAAACTATTCAACACAGACCGTGTCCCCCGGACAATGGAGGCGCTCTGGGGACACATTCGGCGGCGTCCTTCCGCACGTGACACAACAGAAGAATTCTGGCGTTTTATGACGCCGCGTCGCCCACCTCCTTCGTTTGACATTTTCAAGCCCCTCCAGGCTCCCACGCCCGTCTGCCCACCACCCTGCCCCTAAATTCCAAGGGGTGAATACCAAACCCGGCCAGCAACAAAGGGCGCCATTGTCCGGCGCCTGGTACGAACCGGCACGCCTTCTCCACAAGCTGGACACTGGGGCTGTTCTGTAGCGCCAATCTGAGTTGGCCGATGAAAAGGCTCCATTGTGAGCGGCGAGGGCCCCGGAACTTTGAAACGGCCTTTGTGACTCGCCCCAAACACAAAATATTCATTCCTCGGGAAGATTCCAGTCCCACACGCTGGAAACCAATCTGCAGCAAACAAGCCATTGTCTGCACCGAGGCCATCTCGTACAGGGAGACGGCGCGGAATCCCACCTACGAATTCCAAGACAGACGTCGCATTCACATAACGCGGGCCGAACCGCTACATAGATAGCACAGGCGCGTCCTCCGGGGAAAGATGGTTTCCTAATTCAGAGAACCAAAACCCAGAACGAGACACGAATATAGGAACTTAAAAAAAATGAAAGAACTTTAAAATCTTAAAAAGTTCCATTTATGAAAAGCAGACACTCAAAATACTGTACACACCTGGGAGGGACCGGGCACGCATGGTCAGGGGTATCGGGGGGGTGTCACCAATGGGAAGGGTCAGGACCCCCGTCAAGGTTTTATTCCTCTCTATCTGTCCCGGTGATAATGATCAGTGGAACGAAAAAAAGATGGAAAATCCATAACTGCATCAGAACTGCGTGCATCTGTGCAGCTGTAGTGCAATGTGTTTTGCCATGTGTTTTTTTTGGGGGGGGGAGGGCCGGTGGCATTATTATATAGGGATCTTACCATATATGGAAAGTGGCAATATTATATGGGGACCTTACTATATATGGAAAGTGGCATTATCATATAGGGACCTTACCATATATGGAAAGTGGCATTATTATATAGGGGCCTTACCATATATGGAAAGTGGCATTATTCTATAGGGATCTTACCATATATGGAAAGTGGCATTATTATATAGGGGCCTTACCATATATGGAAAGTGGCATTATTATATAGGGGCCTTACCATATATGGAAAGTGGCATTATTATATAGGGATCTTACCATATATGGAAAGTGGCAATATTATATGGGGACCTTACTATATATGGAAAGTGGCATTATCATATAGGGACCTTACCATATATGGAAAGTGGCATTATTATATAGGGGCCTTACCATATATGGAATGTTCTCCTTAGGGTAACGGGAGGACACAAACTAGCGTCCTCCCGTCACCCTAGGCTCAGTATATAGGGAGCTGTAGCTCAAGGTATACTGAGACGCCGCAGCTGAAGCGGATCCTGACAATTGTGTCGAGATCCGCCCAGCTGCGTGAGTGACAGCTGGCTCTGCCTATCTAGAGGCAGAGCCAGCTGTACCCACCCCCTCCCCGACCGTTCCGCCAGTCAGCGCTGGCGGATCGGAGCGGGGAGGGGGGAATCCAGCCCCTCCCCTGTCACGACAGAGAGCCGTGACAGGATCGAGAGGTGAGCGAACGCCGGTATGTGTTCGCTCACCTCCCGATCTACTGAGCCGACCTGTGACAGTCTCATTGCCACAGGTCGGCTAGAACTATGAGGTGAGTGAAAAGCACCCCCTCATAGTTCTCCTTTAAGGTGACTGTTTACAATAAGGTCCCTGCAGGGCCGGTGCTAGACTATTTTGCGCCCTAAACAAGACAAGCTACTTGCACCCCCCAGCCCCACTCCGCGGCGCTGCGTGAGAGGCGAGTATTATTATCTTGTATATTTAATAACAAAAGTCCCTTTAAAAGAACTCCTCCCCATAGGCTAGAGTTGATTGTTAAAGGAGCAGACCTCAGGAGCCTTTGTCCCCATCCGGGTTACTGACCCCGCACCTCTGCGGACAGCTGCTGGGCTGAACAGGTGCGTAGTGAGCCGAATGGAGCAGGTGCCGGTCTTGTGCCCGCACCGAGTCTGTATTCGTGGTGTGGGGCTGCCTCGAGCTGCGCCGGGAAGGAGGACGAGGAGGAGATGTGGAACCCGGCAGGCAGTGTCAAAGATAACTACTGCCAGGTCACCGGAAGGCTGCCTCAGGCCCCCAGAAGCACGGGTCCTCGGCAGCCGATCCGATTTAAAAGTTTAAAGGGCCGGTATCGGCCTTTAGTATCGGGACAATGCCCTGTATCGGCACCGATACCAGTATCGGGACATCCCTAGTAAATACCCCTCCCCCAATGGCACATATACATTTTGGCTTCATATACCTTAAAGTAGAAAAAATGACATATGTGATGCGGTCTGTCAGCAGCATTAACGCAGCCGTCCCCCCGTAACGTAGTTTTATTACCTATTGATACAGCCAGTGTCTGTTAACAGGCCAAGCTGTCCAGGAAAAGTGGCATATAGGGGGTTCAGACAAACTATTCAACACAGACCGTGTCCCCCGGACAATGGAGGCGCTCTGGGGACACATTCGGCGGCGTCCTTCCGCACGTGACACAACAGAAGAATTCTGGCGTTTTATGACGCCGCGTCGCCCACCTCCTTCGTTTGACATTTTCAAGCCCCTCCAGGCTCCCACGCCCGTCTGCCCACCACCCTGCCCCTAAATTCCAAGGGGTGAATACCAAACCCGGCCAGCAACAAAGGGCGCCATTGTCCGGCGCCTGGTACGAACCGGCACGCCTTCTCCACAAGCTGGACACTGGGGCTGTTCTGTAGCGCCAATCTGAGTTGGCCGATGAAAAGGCTCCATTGTGAGCGGCGAGGGCCCCGGAACTTTGAAACGGCCTTTGTGACTCGCCCCAAACACAAAATATTCATTCCTCGGGAAGATTCCAGTCCCACACGCTGGAAACCAATCTGCAGCAAACAAGCCATTGTCTGCACCGAGGCCATCTCGTACAGGGAGACGGCGCGGAATCCCACCTACGAATTCCAAGACAGACGTCGCATTCACATAACGCGGGCCGAACCGCTACATAGATAGCACAGGCGCGTCCTCCGGGGAAAGATGGTTTCCTAATTCAGAGAACCAAAACCCAGAACGAGACACGAATATAGGAACTTAAAAAAAATGAAAGAACTTTAAAATCTTAAAAAGTTCCATTTATGAAAAGCAGACACTCAAAATACTGTACACACCTGGGAGGGACCGGGCACGCATGGTCAGGGGTATCGGGGGGGTGTCACCAATGGGAAGGGTCAGGACCCCCGTCAAGGTTTTATTCCTCTCTATCTGTCCCGGTGATAATGATCAGTGGAACGAAAAAAAGATGGAAAATCCATAACTGCATCAGAACTGCGTGCATCTGTGCAGCTGTAGTGCAATGTGTTTTGCCATGTGTTTTTTTTGGGGGGGGGAGGGCCGGTGGCATTATTATATAGGGATCTTACCATATATGGAAAGTGGCAATATTATATGGGGACCTTACTATATATGGAAAGTGGCATTATCATATAGGGACCTTACCATATATGGAAAGTGGCATTATTATATAGGGGCCTTACCATATATGGAAAGTGGCATTATTATATAGGGGCCTTACCATATATGGAAAGTGGCATTATTATATAGGGATCTTACCATATATGGAAAGTGGCAATATTATATGGGGACCTTACTATATATGGAAAGTGGCATTATCATATAGGGACCTTACCATATATGGAAAGTGGCATTATTATATAGGGGCCTTACCATATATGGAAAGTGGCATTATTCTATAGGGATCTTACCATATATGGAAAGTGGCATTATTATATAGGGGCCTTACCATATATGGAAAGTGGCATTATTCTATAGGGATCTTACCATATATGGAAAGTGGCATTATTATATAGGGATCTTACCATATATGGAAAGTGGCAATATTATATGGGGACCTTACTATATATGGAAAGTGGCATTATCATATAGGGACCTTACCATATATGGAAAGTGGCATTATTATATAGGGGCCTTACCATATATGGAAAGTGGCATTATTATATAGGGATCTTACCATATATGGAAAGTGGCATTATTATATAGGGATCTTACCATATATGGAAAGTGGCATTATTATATAGGGATCTTACCATATATGGAAAGTGGCATTATTATATAGGGGCCTTACCATATATGGAAAGTGGCATTATTATATAGGGGCCTTACCATATATGGAAAGTGGCATTATTATATAGGGGCCTTACCATATATGGAAAGTGGCATTATTATATAGGGATCTTACCATATATGGAAAGTTTTGTTATTCTATAGGGATCAATTCAAAGTCCCGCCAATGCTGTGTCCCAGACAATGTCCAACCAATGCTGTGTCTGGGGCCGTGTCCTGCCAATGTTGTGTCCACAGCAGTGTACCGGGATCACAGCATCAACCTTATATCAGTTACTACACATGGCAATGACTGCCATAATCGCTGCTACCAGTGGGAGGTTTCCACATATTAAGAGTCTGGGGTCTGTGTTGGACCAACCCATAAAGGGGGACGTGATGGGCAGTCTTGGCAATCCGTACAGTGGGTGTGGTTTGGGTGCACCCACCTGTAAAGTGGGCGGATGGAATGCTAATAATAAGTATGGCTAAAGCTAAAGAGTATAGAAAGGTTAGCAGAAGCCCTGTCAAGTTGTCTCTTTCCCCCAGGGGGGTGATTCACCCCTTTATTTACCCCGATCACCATTGTCAGGGAGAAAGAAAGTGAGAGAAAATCCAACATTTCTAGTTGTCACCAGAACAGGAACAGAGGGGAAATCTTCCACTGGTGGCACTAGTTCTGGTGGCAACTGTCTAAGAGGGTATTAGGGTCCATTCACACATGGGCGGTTTTCCGCGCGTATTCAGCCGTCGGAATACGTGCGCAACCGCTCTAAACCTAAAAAGCAATGCATGTTAATGTGCATTGTTCAGACTACTGTGGGGCCCGCGTGGTAAAAAAAACGCACATCCTGCAAAATAGTCTCAGGGGCGGATTCCGCACGTTTGTGGCTGTAGTATAGCTGTAAACTAGCGGAATCCGTGCAGATGTAAAGGTTGTAGCGTTTTCGTGCCGCGTAGTCGTATGGAAAACCGCGCGGGAAACGCAAACGCTATATGTGAATGGAGACTGATATTTTCTTTGGGGAGATTTACTTTCACTTCCTGTCGTATCTACAGGACAGGAAGTAAAGAGAAGTCCACCCAATAGCACACACAATGCTACAGTTTACAGTCAACCAAAACATTCTGGAAACAATGAATTCCATCCTGCGCGGCTGAAAGACGGTTCTGATTGGTTACCGCAGACCGTTGCTATAATGCCTTGTCCTTGGTTTTGTCTCTCACAGTCTTTAGATGTGACATCTCCGCATTGAGATCTCCTCACCACCCAACTGCTGCAGTTACAAGAGAGTCTCAGAATTCAGCATGGAGGAGGGAGACTGCATGGTGAGAGTGAGCAGGGGCAAAACTGGGAGCGCCATAGGGAAGAAAGGGTTCATCATTAGTAACGCCAAAAAAACCCGACAAGACGCCAGCGAGGGATTCAGACACTCAGTGTACGCCCACTGAGGATAAATCGTCCTTGGAAGGACTCGTCCTGTAAATAATTCATCCGGCAGAAGTACAGTGAATGTTATTAACCTTAATACACAAAACGCACAAGCTTTCGGCTGCCAAGACCGCCACGGCAGCTCTATGTAAAGGGAACCTGTCACCGGCACAGTAGCTCCTGGACATGCAGCAGCGTGGTGTCACTCCTCACTGTATACAGTCCATTTTTTGTGACTCGTTACAAGGTTTCTTATCTGGAGATCCTGCCGGTAACTGCAACTCCTGCTGCAGGCTGACAACACAAAGCCATTGCCCTACCCATCAGCAGCAGCGTTGTCAGCCTGTCAGGTCTGTGCAGGAGGCATGCACAATGGCGACCCTGAGGGAGCGCACGCGGCAGGCTAACAACACTAAGCCATTGCCTTACCATCAGCGTTGGCAGCCTGTCAGGTCTGTGCAGGAGGCATACACAATGGCGACCCTGAGGGAGCGCACGCGGCAGGCTAACAACACTAAGCCATTGCCTTACCATCAGCGTTGGCAGCCTGTCAGGTCTGTGCAGGAGGCATACACAATGGCGGCCCTGAGGGAGCGCACACGGCAGGCTGACAACACTAAGCCATTGCCTTACCATCAGCATCAGCGTTGGCAGCCTGTCAGGTCTGTGCAGGAGGCATACACAATGGCGGCCCTGAGGGAGCGCACGCGGCAGGCTGACAACACTAAGCCATTGCCTTGCCATCAGCATCAGCGTTGGCAGCCTGTCAGGTCTGTGCAGGAGGCATGCACAATGGCGGCCCTGAGGGAGCGCACGCGGCAGGCTGACAACACTTAGCCATTGCCTTACCATCAGCAGCAGCGTTGTCAGCCTGCCAGGTCTGTGCAGGAGGCATACACAATGGCGGCCCTGAGGCAGGCTGACAACGCCGCTGCTAATTGAGGGTGTTCACTCAGCAAAGCAAATGCAGACTGAACCTTGTCAGTGAAGCTGCGTCTAGTTCAATCAATCAATCACGTGATAACAAAAATCCAGTTTATTTTGGATTATTTCTGACGTAGAAGGTTTGGTTTCTTAAAGTGAACGCATGTTCATCCTATTTTCTAACATTCACTTTGCTTAGTGAGCAACCTCTACTGCTTTAGTGAACCGACCCCAATAGGCTGAATTCATAAAGCTTTAAACACACGGACAAGGTTTTTTTTATTTTTAGTCATGTGACTGTCATTTTCTCATTGGGCCCAACTGTCACTTGAAGATCCTTATTCATATATATTTTTATGATTTCGGGCTTATGCGTCATTATTACTCATCAAAAACGGGAGGACTAACAGCTAAGCTGATCTGAGAATATTCCGAATCACCGTAAACTTCTGAAAATCCTTTTGCTCATCGGTTCTCGGTTCTGTTGCGTTATTGTCCCAACCAACTATGCACAAAATAACTCGATTATCATCTAAAAAGCCGATGAGTCAGCTAGTCTGTGATTACATCGTCTTTATTATGATCCCCGTCCTTCCTAGGACTACCCAGAACCGACGGACCTACCTGATCTCCCGGGCTGCTTGGACATTGGCACAGAGACCTCCGTAAGTGGCAGGACGTAAACCTCGGGTCCATTCTGGGGAGCCGGGGAGCTCTGGACGGAGAACTCCGTGGTGTAGTCTTCTCCTTCCACATTGTCCAGTTCCTGCAATCAGCAAAGGGACATTCATTATAACAGATGAAGTGGGATGAGCAGTTTGTCCCCACCCCAAAAAAAAATTAACCCCTTCCGCGACAGACTCATGGGAAGGGAGTCAGCAGGAAAATTCCTCATGCAACAAGTTGACTGGAGATTTCCTGAAAGCCGAGTTTCTCTGGGGCCCTGGAGCAAAATGAGAATCCAAAATGAGCCCCACAATAAAAGAGAATTGGACTGGGGGGCGGTGTTTGGGAACGAAGAGCAGAGAAAACTCGAATGAAAGTGCAATTATAGCTGATGAGAAAACTTAAAGGGATTATTCACTTACAAAAAGCAAATATTGCCTTCAAACAAAAAAGAGAGACATGGACTCCTCTGCAGTCTTCTTTATATTATCCCTCACCCCTGATAATGTCCCCGGACTCCCCTCCTATCCTCTTGATATTATCCCTTACCCCTGATAATGTCCCCGGACTCCGCTCCAATCCCCTTTATATTACCCCTGATATTGTCCCCGGACTCCCCTCCTCTCCCCTTTATAGTACCCCTTACCCCTGATAATGTCCCCGGACTCCCCTCCTATTCCCTTTATATTACCCCTTACCCCTGATATTGTCCCCGGACTTCCCTCCTATCCCCTTTATATTCTCCCTTACCCCTGAAAATGTCCCCAGACTCCCCTCTTATCCCCTTTATATTATGCCTTACCCCTGATAATGTCCCCAGACTCCCCTCCTATCCCCTTTATATTATCCCTTACCCCTGATAATGTCCCCGAACTCCCCTCCTATCCCCTTTATATTATCCCTTACCCCTGACAATGTCCCCGGACTCCCCTCCTATCCCCTTTATATTATCCCTTACCCCTGACAATGTCCCCGGACTCCCCTCCTATCCCCTTTATATGATCCCTCACCCCCGATAATGTCCCCGGACTCCCCTCCTATCCCTTACCCCCGAGAATGTCCCCGGACTCCCCTCCTATCCCCTTTATATTACCCCTGATAATGTCCCTGGGTGACCCTAATTGGGTGATGTGCCCACTGTTAGACTAAAGAGTTAACCGGGCACCGTAGGCCCCCCTATACCGCACAAAACTGGCATAGCGCGCTCCAAAACACGGTTCAGGAGTCACAACGATAAAATGAGTCACGCATGACTGTCTGTGGCATTGCAGCTGGCACAGGGCTTACCCGCGCTCCAAATATGAAAGATGCCAGCTGCTGCCTTGTTTACTGAGCAAGAGTGGCACACGCATGCCCCCTGGCATCCCCTGCACTGCGACCGGCTCCCCCCTCCGGGTACCCTGCGCACTCCCAGAGGGGCCCCCTCATCCCAGGGCAAACATGTAGTCTTAGATCTGAACAGATGTACCATGGGAGCGTCAGAGATTATAACAGGAAATCATGTTATTCTTTAATGAGGCTGCAACGCGGACTGTCTGCGCCCCACTGTCACTCTCAGTCATTGGAATGCATTGCTGAACAGGCGATTGTGGATATTCATATATTAACTCCTGCCTGCTGACAATCTTCCTGAACTTACTGAGAAATCAGAACTTTATAGATTCTGTGGAGAGAGGAAACCTGTCAATATAGAAGAAGAGCCATTGCATCTGAAAATGCCAGCTGCCTGGCTTTGCCATTCACTGACGCAGCCAGCCAGCGACTAGATTAGCAGCACTGAAGCCTATAGAGCCATCTTCTCTATGCAGGCCACTCATATGAAACAAGCAGGCAGCCAGCATCTGAAAATCTAAGCCTCAGGTCAGCTATGTAGGGAAGCAAGGATGAAGATGGCAGCCCTGGGCGCTGGCTCCTTAAATCTAGCCCACACAGGATTGTAAAACGTACAATAAGCCTTACAGCATTCAACAAGCTTCCTCAATGCCCTTAAAGTGCCCCCCAGCTGCAGACTGGGAGGGCTGAATACAGGGGACAATGGGCAGGTGGTCCCTTTAAACTTGATATCAACAGATTTGAAATGCGTTCAATTCGCTCTGCGGTCGCTGGCCACTTCGCTGCACACGCAGCTGCACGGAGCTCAATGCGGCTACGCTATTATATAACATAGTCCTGGGCTTCACCTCAACTTGTCTGAACTGCAGCATTCAGGCTGCTTATATAACCGCAGCACAGGCAGGTACCGCGCACAGAACAAGAACAAATGACATCATCCGCCATGAGAACATTTCCACCCAAAAACACTCTAGAAGGATCAGATTATCTCCACGCCCAAAGGCGATCTGTGCACTGGAGCGTTAAGGTGCACAGCTCTCAGCAAGCACCACCTACAAATGAGGCAAAAACACGGCGTGCAAAAGGTCGGTAGTCCAAGGCAGCCAATCAGTAAACGTCTGCCACTGGATATAAACAATGGACAGAAAGCTCTTATTGGTTTTAGTGGTTTCGTGAACATCATTGCTCTGCACGGCATGACTGCAGAGACGGAAGGGTTTTAGATCACATGATGTGTGAATACTGACCCTCCTTATAACCCTAACACTGATCCTCCTTGTAACCCTAACACTGACCCTCCCTGTAACCCCAACACTGACCTCCCTGTAACCCTAACACTGACCCTCCCTGTAACCCCAACACTAACCCTCCCTGTAACCCCAACACTGAGCCTCCCTGTAACCCCAACACTTACCCTCCCTGTAATTCCAATGCTAACCCTCCCTGTAACCCCAACACTAACCCTCCCTGCAACCTCAACATTACCCCTCCTTGTAACCCCAACAATGACCCTCCCTGTAACCCCAACAATGACCCTCCCTGTAACCCTAACACTGACCCTCCCTGTAACCCTAACACTGACCCTCCCTGTAACCCTAACACTGACCCTCCCTGTAACCCTAACACTGACCCTCCCTGTAACCCTAACACTGACCCTCCCTGTAACCCTAACACTGACCCTCCCTGTAACCCTAACACTGACCCTCCCTGTAACCCTAACACTGACCCTCCCTGTAACCCTAACACTGACCCTCCCTGTAACCCTAACACTGACCCTCCCTGTAACCCTAACACTGACCCTCCCTGTAACCCTAACACTGACCCTCCCTGTAACCCTAACACTGACCCTCCCTGTAACCCTAACACTGACCCTCCCTGTAACCCTAACACTGACCCTCCCTGTAACCCTAACACTGACCCTCCCTGTAACCCTAACACTGACCCTCCCTGTAACCCTAACACTGACCCTCCCTGTAACCCTAACACTGACCCTCCCTGTAACCCTAACACTGACCCTCCCTGTAACCCTAACACTGACCCTCCCTGTAACCCTAACACTGACCCTCCCTGTAACCCTAACACTGACCCTCCCTGTAACCCTAACACTGACCCTCCCTGTAACCCTAACACTGACCCTCCCTGTAACCCTAACACTGACCCTCCCTGTAACCCTAACACTGACCCTCCCTGTAACCCTAACACTGACCCTCCCTGTAACCCTAACACTGACCCTCCCTGTAACCCTAACACTGACCCTCCCTGTAACCCTAACACTGACCCTCCCTGTAACCCTAACACTGACCCTCCCTGTAACCCTAACACTGACCCTCCCTGTAACCCTAACACTGACCCTCCCTGTAACCCTAACACTGACCCTCCCTGTAACCCTAACACTGACCCTCCCTGTAACCCTAACACTGACCCTCCCTGTAACCCTAACACTGACCCTCCCTGTAACCCTAACACTAACCTTCTCTGTAACACCAACACTAACCTTCTCTGTAACGGCAACACTAACCCTCCCTGCAACCTCAACATTACCCCTCCTTGTAACCCCAACAATGACCCTCCCTGTAACCCCAACAATGACCCTCCCTGTAACCCTAACACTAACCTTCTCTGTAACACCTCTCCCTGTAACCATAACACTGACCCTCCCTGTAACCCAAACACTGACCTTCCCTGTAACCCCAACACTGACCCTCCCTGTAACCTCAACACTGACCTCCCTGTAACCCCAAAACTGACCCACCCTGTAACCCCAACACTGACCTCCCTGTAACCATAACACTGACCCTCCCTGTAACCTCAACACTGACCCACCCTGTAGCCCCAACACTGATGGGATGGATGGAATGGCCTTACCATAGGACACATACAAGGTGAAAGCAATCATTTCTTTTCTAGAGAGAGAAGAGCGGGATCTGTCATCATTCACAGGAGATTCCCAACATATCAGCGACAATGAGCTCCACCAGCACACGGAAGACCTCGCTACTGGACTCTTAGCAACACTTCCCAGGCACCATCCTCTCAGGAGACGACCATCAACCTTGATTTTATCAGGGTGTCATCTCTCATGGGATCTCTATTATCAGAGTGTAATTTATCATGCGATATCTTATCAGGGTGTCATCTATCATGTGATCTCTATTATCAGGGTGTCATCTATCATGTGACATCTTTTATCAGAGTGTCATCTATCATGTGATATCTTTTATCAGGGTGTCATCTCTCATGGGATCTCTATTATCATGGTGCCATCTATCATGTGACATCTTTTATCAGAGTGTCATCTATCATGTGATATCTTTTATCAGAGTGTCATCTCTCATGTGATCTCTATTATCAGGGTGTCATTTATCATATGATATCTTTTGTAAGGGTGTCATCTATCATATGATATCTTATCAGGGTGTCATCTATCATATGATATCTTATCAGGGTGTTATCTATCATATGATATCTTATCAGGGTGTCATCTATCATATGATATCTTATCAGGGTGTTATCTATCATATGATATCTTATCAGGGTGTTATCTATCATATGATATCTTATCAGGGTGTCATCATATGATATCTTATCAGGGTGTCATCTATCATGTGATATCTTATTAGGGTGTCATCTATCATATGATATCTTATCAGGGTGTCCAGCCTAGGATTTCACATTGTTTAATGATCCCTTGGCTGAGTATTCGTGAACGCTATTGGCAAATAGATAGCCAATCACGCAGCCCCACAGTTCCGGGTCCCCCATCAGCCACAACGTCAGCTGTGTTCAAAATTTCCTGAAGTAGTTTAAAAAGAAAACAAAAAACAGTCCAGCACTGGTCCCAAAGCCGACACGGGGCGCAGCAAACTAAAATATACTTAAAACACCCCAAAAAAATCAGATATTGAATTACATTTCTAAAAGTGTCATTAACCAAGAAGTAGTCACTTTGGCCACCTCGACCCATAAACGGGCCCATCACCCAACATGCCAGAAAGCATCAATGAATTCTCCGGGGGAAAATCTTATATTCGCAAAGGATCAATGAATTCTCCGGGGGCAAATCTTATATTCACAAAGGATCAATGAATTCTCTGGGGGCAGATCTTATATTCACAAAGGATCAATGAATTCTCCGGGGGCAGATCTAATATTCACAAAGGATCAATGAATTCTCCGGGGGCAGATCTTATATTCACAAAGGATCAATGAATTCCCCGGGGGCAAATCTTATATTCACAAAGGATCAATGAATTCTCTGGGGGCAGATCTTATATTCACAAAGGATCAATGAATTCTCCGGGGGCAGATCTAATATTCACAAAGGATCAATGAATTCTCCGGGGGCAGATCTTATATTCGCAAAGGATCAATGAATTCCCCGGGGACAGATCTTATATTCACAAAGGATCAATGAATTCCCCGGGGACGGATGTTATATTCACAAAGGATCAATGAATTCCCCGGGGACAGATCTTATATTCACAAAGGATCAATGAATTCTCCGGGGGCAGATCTTATATTCGCAAAGGATCAATGAATTCTCCGGGGGCAGATCTTATATTCGCAAAGGATCAATGAATTCCCCGGGGGCAGATCTTATATTCGCAAAGGATCAATGAATTCTTCGGGGGCAGATCTTATATTCACAAAGGATCCATCGGCTGAACAGTTCATAGAAAGACAATTATTATTTCAGATACATTCATCCCAACAACTGATGTTACAATGTATTCAAAGCAACAACACAGATATACCCAACAATAAAAGAAAACTTGTATCTTATACCGGTAATATAAATTGTAGAACGAGTCCGGACAGATATTAAAAACATGAATTCATATTATTATAATATTATTATTATATTTTCATTATTATTATTTAACACAAAGTGATTTTATGTCATTGCGGAATCCTCTACGGCATTGAACTGTTTTCCATTTTCGCCGTCTTCCTTCTTGGCGAACGCAAACCCCAGACAGATTGAATGTAACTATTTAAAGCCCACGCATGCCTGAGATACTTTAAATAGAACATAGAGGGGGAAAAAATAGAATAAAATAATCAAACCGTTCCAATGGACCTCAAAATGTTCCAATAACAGCAGCTGGTAACGGCCTTGTTACAATTGTCGGAAGACGTCATACAAATGGCGACAAAATTACGACCATTTCTAATGCCTGTGGGTACCTTATTAATGCCCTTAAATTATCTTTTTGGGAGGGGGAGAGGGGTGAATATTATGGATACAAATTAAATAGAGACACAGACCTTTCGGTGATGAGCCCAGGAGGACAATGCCCACGGGCTGGGCTGCGCACACACACACACACACACACAGAATTGGGCATCGATCTCATGCCTACCTCTCCATGTCGCCACGAAAAGCTTTTAATCCCAAAAGCTGCACCGGCGATTAAGTAGGAAAGGGTCAGCATGTCCTGAGTGGGGTGATGGGGACCCAGAGGCGACTGGCGCTGCCATTACACATCCCTGCGATTCATCTGGCGCTGCTCTGCCAGGCTTCCCCGTCTCTGCCTGGCACATTAACAACGCTCAGCTGCCCCCTGAATCAGAATTCAAGGACTGTGCTGGAAAGGGGGAGGCGGGTCACTCATGACTTTTTTTTTTTTTACTTATATAGCGATGACATTCCATTTACTGCCCACTCTGCGTGCCCCCCACCAGCACGTGCTCTTACAATGCCACCATTCTTTGCCCATTCAATGCTCTGGCACCGTCTGCCTGCTGGGACGCAGATGGTTAATGCTCCGCTGCCTACTGAAGCACAGACATGCACGGGGAGTTTAAAAGCCAACTGAAGACCAATTGTTATATAAACATCTAAAAGTCACATACAGGAGCAGATCTCTCTGCCCAAAACGTGCAAACCAATGCCCCTCCTCCAACAAGTCACCCATATCCAAGGTGGGCGACTGTACTGTTCAGATTCTGCCGCTCTCCATACCTCTGCAACACCCCCCTCCCCCCAAAACCACCACCTGCTCTACTCAAGCCCACCCAGAGTGCCCCTGTAAAGTCACCTGAGTCCCTCCCCTTCCCATTCATCAGGCCCTCCAAGACTGCATTTCACTAAAAGGTTTGGGGTCCACCAGTGAAAATGTAAAAGTGGGACTTACTTCAGAATGGATGACAAAGCATTTGAGAACATAAATAAGTTACTGACAAAGAGGAACCCCATTGGGCAATGAGGTGGTGGGGCTGTGCCGAAGTTGCAATGGACTGGACGCCCCTCCTATCATCTTTATATTATCCCTTACCCCTGATAATGTCCCCGGACTCCCCTCCTATCCCCTTTATATTATTCCTTACCCCTGATAATGTCCCCGGACTCCCCTCCTATCCCCTTTATATTACCCCTTACCCCTGATAATGTCCCCGAACTCCCCTCCTTCCCCTGATAATGCCCCCGGACTCCCCTCCTATCCCCTTTATATTACCCCTTACCCCTGATAATGTCCCCGGACTCCCCTCCTATCCCCTTTATATTCTCCCTTAACCCCGATTATGTCCCCGGACTCCCCTCCTTTCCCCTTTATATTCTCCCTTACCCCTGATAATGTCCCCGGACTCCCCTCCTATCCCCTTTATATTATCCCTTACCCCTGACAATGTCTCCGGACTCCCCTCCTATCCCCTTTATATTATCCCTTACCCCTGATAATGTCCCCGGACTCCCCTCCTATCCCCTTTATATTCTTCCTTACTCCTGATAATGTCCCCGGACTCCCCTCCTATCCCCTTTATATTCTTCCTTACTCCTGATAATGTCCCCGGACTCCCCTCCAATCCCGTTTATAGTATCCCTTACCCCTGATAATGTCCCAGGACTCCCCTCCTATCCCCTTTATATTCTTCCTTACTCCTGATAATGTCCCCGGAATCCCCTCCAATCCCCTTTATAGTATCCCTTACCCCTGATAATGTCCCCGGACTCCCCTCCTATCCCCTTTATATTTTCCCTTACCCCTGATAATGTCCCCGGACTCCCCTCCTCTCCCCTTTATATTTTCCCTGACCCCTAATAACGTCCCCGGACTCCCCTCCTATGCCCTTTATATTCTCCCTTACCCCTGATAATGTCCCCGGACTCCCCTCCTATCCCCTTTATATTACCCCTTACCCCTGTAATGTCCCCGGACTCCCCTCCTATCCCCTTTATATTATCCCTTACCCCCGATAATGTCCCCGGACTCCCCTCCTATCCCCTTTATATTACCCCTTACTCCTGATAATGTCCCCGGACTCCCCTCCTATCCCCTTTATATTATCCCTTACCCCTGATAATGTCCCCGCACTCCCCCTCCTGTCCCCTTTATATTATCCCTTACCCCTGATAATGTCCGGGGGGGAGGGGGGGCGGGTCCCATTAAGCTGGAGATGGTCTCTAAGATTCCAGCATTATGAAGTATTATGTGTGAGGACTTCTTGGGGTTATGATGGCCACTCATTCATTCATGTAGAGGTGGGAATACATTTGCATTTTCAGAAATCCAACCCTGGGGACCCCGGCGACCCCCTGTAATCAGTAATGGGATTATTTTTAGGGATCTCACCTTGAATCCGATGTCCCCCTTGCAGCACAGACAGGCCAGCATGAGGAAGATGATGGTGATGAGCCCAGAGAAGGATACCGCCACCACGGCCAGTGACGAGGGCCAGGACAGCTCACTCAGCAGGGGTCCATCTGTAAGAAGAGAAGAGAGGACAGGTGACGTCTCATGCTGATCCAAAGGCTTCAAAGCCTTCTCAACCAATGACAGGAAACGCATATGCAAATTGGATTTCTGACTTCACTCGTTGGCATGCTCGGTTCATGCCTGTGACTCAAACAATCAACACCAGAGACAACCAAAAGGATCGAAAGGAAAAAATCAGCAGCGCCCATGAAGCACATAAATCCTTCTTTTGTTAATGGAAACATTGTGACATGCGTCATAAAAGCCAACGTTTCGTGGCCACGCAGGGTCCCTTCCTCAGGCTAGGTTCACACCTGCACTACAACGCACGACACCCGGGCTGCGTGTCCTGGGGGCGGCGCCATCGTGTGCTAGTGCACACAGTGATTGCCACGCGGCCCCATTGATTTCAATGGGGTGACATCCGCACGGCAATCGCTAAAAAAAACACACACGACGTGCGGTTTAGAAAATAATGGCACCCACAGCGGCCCGCACCTGGTTGACACCATTGGAGGGGTGACACCAAAACGACTGACAGTCATTTTGGTGTCACCCCCTCTGAAAAGTTTCGGGAGAGAGGAGGGGACCCAGCTGCCTACCTTATACCGCCCAGTGACTATCCCCTTCTCTCTCTGCTGGCGTCCATCACCAAGATGGCTGCGCATGCGCGATGACATCAGGGCGGAGTGTCACCCGGTAATCGCTCCAGGGTGACACCCGGCCTCGGGAAGCCCCTGCATAGCATACACACCTATAAGGGGGCGGCACACCAGCAACACACAAGTAACACCCCTATGATGTCATCATGATGTCATGTCCCACTAGAATTTAAAATAATCAGTTCTCCAGAAATTAATTTTGAATTCTGTTGGGACATGACATCACTATGACATCATACGGGCGCTACTTGCATGTTTTCGGTGTGTATGCTTTGCTGTTCAAGTCTCACTATGTCACCCTGAGGAAGGGACCCTGCGTGGCTTTTTATGATGCATGTGACAAATGTTTCCATAAACAGAAGAAGGATTTATGTTCTCACTTCATGGGCGCTGCTGATTTTCCTATCTATACATTGAAGTTTCGCCCGGCGACATCCATGTAATCACTGCGAGCACCGCTATTCTTTAAAGGTCGATGGCGCTGTACTGAGTGCAGCTGATCCACAATGTCAACACCACAGAGACAGCCGGGCAACTGGCATTTTTAAAAGGAGATCAGTGATGGCAGCCTACATATTGCTCTCACTAGGTATAGTGGCTGTGAGACCTCAATGACCAACATATAGTGAAGTTTAACCAACCATTGCCATGTTTAATATATATATATATATACTGGTGTCACCCTTATTCCATCTCAGTGCTGCTTATCTCCTGCATTCCAGCGATGGCTGCATGGCAATTCACAGGGCGGGTTTCCTGATGGTGACAACACTGGACCATGTCTGTGTAATGTGCGTTGAAATGGCCACTTGTAGTCTCTATCCTTCCCATGCGACAAGACAGAGCAACAATTGGGAGATGGGGACATAGCGTTGTCACCCCTTATGTAAGAAAAGCCATTCTCATGTATTAGACCGCAGTTAGCAATTCTGCCACTAGGTGGTGGTATGTCTGCAGGTGATGCAATGTTCTTCTATTAAATGGTTGTGATGTCACTTCCTGTCTCTGTGTTCATGTTTTCCAATAAAGCAAGAAGGGCTCAGCCATGTGTGCAGCATCATCTGACCAGTAAGAGTCTTATCTGTAGCGGCTTTCCAAGCGTCTGAGCTAGAACCTCCATGGCAGGATCACCAGGTACTATTTTAAAGAAAGCTGAAGATTTAAGGACATTGAAAATGACAATAATATGTTTCAGAGATCGGATTCATATCTACTGTACATGGTAGATCAAATATTTTGTAGCAAATTGACCTCCGGCCTCCCCTCCAATCCCATATCTGACCTCCGGCCTCCCCTCCAGTCTTCTATCTGACCTCCCCTCCTGTCTTCTATCTGACCTCCCCTCCAGTCTTCTATCTGACCTCCGGCCTCCCCTCCAGTCTTCTATCTGACCTCCGGCCTCCCCTCCAGTCTTCTATCTGACCTCCGTCCTTCCCTTCAGTCTTCTATCTGACCTTCGTCCTTCTCTTCAGTCTTCTATCTGACCTCCGGCCTCCCCTCCAGTCCCATATCTGACCTCCGGCCTCCCCTCCAGTCCCATATCTGACCTCCGGCCTCCCCTTCAGTCTTCTATCTGACCTCCGGCCTCCCCTCCAGTCTTCTATCTGACCTCCGTCCTCCCCTTCAGTCTTCTATCTGACCTCCGTCCTCCCCTTCAGTCTTCTATCTGACCTCCGTCCTCCCCTTCAGTCTTCTATCTGACCTCCGTCCTCCCCTTCAGTCTTCTATCTGACCTCCGTCCTCCCCTTCAGTCTTCTATCTGACCTCCGTCCTCCCCTTCAGTCTTCTATCTGACCTCCGTCCTCCCCTTCAGTCTTCTATCTGACCTCCGTCCTCCCCTTCAGTCTTCTATCTGACCTCCGTCCTCCCCTTCAGTCTTCTATCTGACCTCCGTCCTCCCCTTCAGTCTTCTATCTGACCTCCGTCCTCCCCTTCAGTCTTCTATCTGACCTCCGTCCTCCCCTTCAGTCTTCTATCTGACCTCCGTCCTCCCCTTCCCTCCCATATCTGACCTCCGGCCTCCCCTCCAGTCCCATATCTGACCTCCGGCCTCCCCTTCAGTCTTCTATCTGACCTCCGGCCTCCCCTCCAGTCTTCTATCTGACCTCCGTCCTCCCCTTCAGTCTTCTATCTGACCTCCGTCCTCCCCTTCAGTCTTCTATCTGACCTCCGTCCTCCCCTTCAGTCTTGCACAGTTGTACCGGCTCCCCACTGATGTCAATGCACACGGGGAGCTTCTCACAATGTGCATTAGAAGCTGAGGCAAGTCAGATAGAGCCCGCCTCATGTCTTGGCTGGAGGACTTCCAGCATCATCTAGCACTTTCCTCACCAGCCTGAATGTCCCTGGCCCCGCCCCTTTCATTCACTGGATTTCAGTTCTTTCAATCATGGAGGCTCAGCGGCACATGGGGTCTGCATGCAAATGAAGTCTGCTTAGGAACTCCCACTCCTCCAGACTGACATCCACCCATCAAGGCATTTTGATGTGCATAACTCCGCCCAAGAACCAGGCCACTGCTCGCATCAGGGGCTCTTAAGAGGAGTAATGAGGAAGGGTGTTGTGATGTTTTCGGGAAGCTATGAACAGCACCTCTGCCGGCCCCTCCCACCAGCCATCATCTGACTGCATTGCACAGAGAAGCACACATGGTAACTTGTAGTCTCCATTGGAATGTGGGTGACAACGCAGGAGACAAGGGCAGAGCGTTGTCACCTTATATCAGGAAGTGATTGAACAAGGGCCGTGATGGCAGAAGACACCGGAGGGTATAAAGGCTTCTTCTCACCATCTCCACTGAGCCCTTATAATGAAAACTGCAGATTTGAAAAGACTTGATCGCCTATATGTGAAACACCCGGTAACGGGTGTGTGCATTTAGCGGGTCTTTTCTGCCCGTGCGTGCCCGCTAGGGGGCGCGCGCGAGCAGATGCTGCAGTGCCGTCCGTCCGTTTTTTTACTACGGGCGGACGGCAAGAGGTTAACATATTAAAACTTCTATAAGATTTTGGTGATTTGGTTTAAATCTCCTGTAATAGGCGGTGAGCTATAAGCGCTCATTTACACGGAAATCGGCCGGCACGTACAGCTCCGTGCTGCGTGCGCGGCCGTATCGGGCCGCTCCCGGGAAGGACAGGTGCTGCGTGTGATTAGTACGCAGCCCCCGTCCTTCTCTATGGGAGTAGGCGGCCGTACGCACCCCATCGCTCACCCGTCCTGCATGTACGTGCGGGTGTCCGTACTCGTACGCTGAAAGGATGGATCCTGTCTGCGTCCCAGCCGGGACACCCGCACCCTTACGGACCTGCACTTGAGGTGAGCGTACAGCCGCGTACTCCCATAGCGAAGGACGGGGGCTGCGTACTAATCACACGCAGCACCTGTCCTTCCCGGGAGCTGCCCGATACGGCCGCGCACGCAGCACGGAGCTGTACATGCCGGCCCTTTCTCATGTGAATGAGGCCTAAATGATCGACTGCAGTTAAGCCGTGGAGTTTAGCTGCCGATAGAAGCTTGTCGGTTTTCATGCCCAATCCCACCATTTTATAACTGTTACGCCGCCCTACAGGTCCGTGGGGGTGCGGGTGTCCATATTTGTACGCTGACAGGATCCTGTCTGCGTCTTAGCCGGGACACCCGCACCCGTACGGACCTGCACTTGAGGTGAGCGTACAGCCGCATACTCCCATAAAGAAGGACGGGGGCTGCGTACTAATCACACGCTGCACCTGTCCTTCCCGGGAGCTGCCCGGTACGGCTGTGCACGCAGCACGGAGCTGTACGTGCCGGCCGATTCTCGTGTGAATGAGCCCTTAATGTTGCCATTTTTCTTTATTGTGACCGTTCTTCAATATAAAAAGGTAAATATTATTTATTATTATTATTCCTCGGTGTGATGCGCCACGTGATGTCCAGATTCCTGCGCTTCGTGTTGGTCATGGCAATACACACTTCTGACCACTAGAGGGGGCTGTGACCCAACGATGGGCAGCGCCTCCGCCAAAGCCGCCAGTGTAGGAAATGGCAGAAGATGGAAATTCTGATTCCCCCTTCCAGACAAGTCTGGTCGGCCATCTTTATCTCGATTAACCATTCGCATGCCTGGTTGTGGACAGTACAAGAGGCTGGCCGGGTCCAGAATCAGCTGTACAGCCATCATCAGTCCACAGGCCAAACGCAGGCGGAGTCTGGTCGTCGGGGACGGTCGGCGTCACAGATTCATCCGGGGCACTACGGCGACGTTTTAATAATCTGGGGAAATTCCTTCTTAAAAATTATTTTGTGCATTCGGAAACGCGTCTCTCTCCCATCGTAAAAAGCCAGAACTGCGCTACGTCCTATTAACT